GGGACAGCACACAGCGCAGAGCAGCTCTACTGTGACAACCTCCGCCAGGCTGACTGCAAGGGGCTGCCCCTCTACTGCCCTTTCTACCGGGCAGGAGGAGGTGAGTGTCCATCGTGCAGGGCTGTCCCCACGCCTGCCCTGTGTCACATCCCTCCCCAGAGAGACCTTCCTGCTCCCCAAAACGGCTCCATCCTGGTGCTAAGAGCATCCCCATGGAGGAAGGGGATGTGGGATCTGGGGGGCCCACGCTGACACATGCTCACCCCTGCCTAGCCCTGCTCGGTGTGAACCTGTGGCCGGAGGAGCCGGTGCCCCGGTTTCTGCTGTGCCCTGACTGGGCTTTCTGCGAGTTACTGCCTTGCCCGATCCAGGAGGAGCTGCAGACAGTGCTGCTGGGCGAGCTCTGGGAGGGCCGCGAGTACGGGCTGGTGCTGACGGCACGGCACGGAGAGTACAGGTACCTCCTCCCTGCTGCGATGATCCAGGGGGGGCTCACACCCCAGCCCCACATGCCCGGCACCGACCTCCGTGATGGTCCCCGTGTCCATGCAGGTGCCGCACTGGGGAGGTGCTGAGGGTGAGTGGCTTCCACAAGCAGTGTCCTGTGGTGGAGCCTGTGCGCAGGTGAGGACACCCTGGCCCCTGCCCCTTGCCTTGGTGCGGCTCTGAGCTGGGCAGAGTCTGGGTGGGTCGGTACCAGTGGCACCCCCGGAATGGGGCACCCACCCCAGCCCCCTGTGCCGCAGGGAGAGTCAGGCACTGAGCGTGCGAGGCGAGAGCATCCCTGAGGACCGGTTCTGCCAGAGCCTGTGCCGCGCTGTAGGCCTGTGGCCGGGCGCTCGCCTGGTGGATTACGTCTGTGTGGAGAGGGCGCTGCTGGGTGAGTCCCCGAAGAGCTGCCTGAGTGCCGCCAAAAGCACGGCTGGCGCTGCCCAGGGCTCTGCCATCCCTCCTGTACCCTGCTCGGCACCGGGTCATCTGCACTGGTGGGACTGGGGGCTGCGGGTGGCTCTAACATGCTGGTGATGCTGCTTCAGGTGCCACTTCGGGGGCCTGCGCCCCCCACTATGAGGTGTTCGTGGAGCTGCGGGGCCTGCGGGACCTGTCGGAGGGACAGCGCTACAAGGTGAGGAGGGCATGGGCTCTGCGCCCCCAGCATGCGGGGCTGGCTGGGGGACATGGGCACAGCCGGGGGCTGCAGGGCCAGCCACAGCCTGTGCTCTCTCTGCAGCTGGACCAGTGTCTGCAGGAGGATTTCCCCATCTATAAGTCCTTCCGCTTCAAGGGCAGCATTGGGCCCCTGCGCCTGCATCTGGTGGGGTCCGGGGCCTTCGCCTGCTTGCGGGAAGCACTGGGGTCGCCCCTCCCCATGCCCAGGGTTCTGCGGGAGGAGCAGCTGCTGCAGCTCATTCAGGGCACCGTCATCTCCTAAGGCAGCCTGGGGGTTCGGCAGCCCCCCTGCCCCTGGGCTTCGCTTGGTGTGCACCCTCCCCGGGAGCAAACAGGGCCAAGGTCCTGGTGGGGAGGCACAGGGCAAGGGTGCCCAGCCCCAGGGTTTTGGCTGAGCAGAGCAGACAGAGCCAGTGAACTCCATGGTGCTTCTGTGTCCCGGTGGCGGCGGGGGCTGGGTGGCACCAGCTTGGAGACACCCACAGGGATGGAGCGGGACCTGCAGTGCACCCCAGCCCTGGTCCTAGCCCCGGGCTCTTTGGGTGCAGAATGAGACCATGGGCTCTTGTGAACGTCACAGGGGAGCCAGGTCCTGTGCCAGTTGCCATGGCTCGCTCCACTGCTCAGTGCCTTGGGAGCTCCGTGGGTGCCTGTGCCTTTCCCGAGGGACACCTCGGCTATCACAGCCCGCACTGGAGCCTGGAGGGGCTGCGGAGCCTCGAGCCCACATAGGAGCTCCTGGTGACCTTGTGGCATTTTGTCCCATGACAGGGACACTGCGGAGTGGCCGGTGGTGGCAGGTACCGGCTGCCCTGGAGCAGCCCCTCCACTGGTTTAAAAAACAATAACCTCCAGCAAGGACTGACTGCTTTTAGTGTTTGAAAAACCAGAAACAAAATAAAGGAGGATTATCTCTCAAAAATAAATAAAGGGCAGCGCTCTGGGATTGGTTTTTTTATACTATTATTTTTAATCCTCATTAAAGAGCTTTCCTGATGACAGCCCTGACTCAACTCTGGGGGTTGAGGAGTTGCTGTTGATTCCTAGAGGTCCTGGGGAGGGGGTGGCCATGAATATTTCACCAGTTCAGCTGCTGGCGGGGGCTCTGGGAGCATCTGGCCGTGCCTTTGAAGCACAAATGTGCCATGCGGGAGGGACCAGTCCTCTCCCTCCTGCCAGGTCGGCTTTATTTTGAGGACTGGGGAGTGGCAGGGTTGGGGTCCCCGCTGTGCAGGCAGCTGGGCCATGTCTTGAGCAGAAGTCACAAAGAGCATCCACACCTGCACGGAGGGGGAGCAGGGCTGAGTCCCCCCTATCCCCAGTCCTGCAGGGAAATAAACCCTGGAGCAAAA